CCTTTGGGTTCAGTCAGTCAACCAATTACTAATCCACCTAACAGTTGTTTTATCTAGCCTACATTTTACTATCTTGTTTGCCAGGATATCATGGGGGACGTTGTCAAAAGTCCTATTGAAATTCAAATAAACACAGATTGAGCAGGACAAATACCCATGAGATAGGAAGCTGCTCCACCAGTTTCAAATGACAGGGCACACACATGTTGAAAGGGCAATGCTTACTTCTCCCATGAGCTCTGCATGAACCTTGGAGACACCATAGATTGTCCTTGGCCTTTGGATGCAGAGGTCAGGAGTCGGGTCCCGAGGAGAGGTGGGTCCAAAAGCTCCAATTGTGCTGGGGACAAAGAGTCGCAAGCTGTGCTCAGCAGCAATATCAAGAATGTTATGCAATCCTAGGAACAGCAAACAGAGTTATCAGACTCAAAAAACCAAAACACTGAGCTCTGATAACAAGGGACAGTTAATCAAACAACAGTAAGTAAGTTTACATCTACCAGTGATATTCACAGATCTTGCCAAAGGGACATTAGCTTCTCCAACAGCACTGAGCAATGCACTGTAGTGAAACAGCCATGTAATCCGGTTGTTCACCACTATCTCACGGAGATTCTTGTAGTCCAGAATGTCTGAGTAGATGAAAGGCCCTATGAAGGGAAAAGTATAAATCAAAAACAGGAGCATGTGGAAGGTGACAAATCAAAGAAGTTGACAGAATAGGAGAGTCTCCTCCTTCTTTCAAACAGAAATATGCTGGTTTTGACCCATGTAAGTTCATGCAGAATAAAGTGTCAATTCATCTGCCACTGCACCAAATATAAACCTGTTTCAGCTCTACTTCAATAATTTTGCTTTACTGCATGGAAAAAGTAGTCATGTGGAAAAAGGAAGAGTGATTTGATTTCCAAAAAAGTTGGATGAGTATCTGTTCAAAACAGTTATGCTATACTTTTAGGAAGCTAATAAGCTTATTGCATTGTGTTCTCGTAACGTAATGAGTAAGTGATGAGAATGGAACGGAACGTATTTTATCGCACGGTATGATCCTCACTGAGTTCCCATTTCGTGCTCTGACAGTCCCTAGCCCGTTCCAGCAGGAGAACTGTAAAAATGCATCCTTAGCCAGCAAGAATGCTTTCGGACGGTTCCATATGATGTGTGTGCGATAAACCTACCCAGTCTCAATCTGTCCTCATGTTCTGATTGGCTAAGACAACCTCCTTCCCTCCTGTCCTAGAACGTCCACCAACTCAACTCAACTCTTCCAGTGTTGATGCAAGGAAGGTGCCACAAGCAATTTAAAAAATATTTTTTTAAAATTTTTGTAGATTGAATTGCGTCATGTTTACAAGAAAAAAAAATGAATGCTCACTACCTAAACCTCTCAACATCATTCTTTCCAATGCAGAAATAGGGGTTTTCGCAACAGTGAGCATGCACCAATGAAGGATGGCTGAGGAACTACTTTTAGCGCTGGTACCGGTACAACAGTAAATGCTGTGCGATAACATATGTTCTCATAACGTTACTATCGCGTTATCAGTAGTCTAATGCGGTAACACCCGTTCCCATATAGTTACATTCTAGGGACTCAATGGGAATGTTACAGGTACTGGTGTGATAAGCTTATAAATGTCTGTTTTTAGACCTGCATTAACTTGAGCCTTTAGTGCAGATGAATAAGAGCAGTGGTTTCTAAATTTTGGTCTTCCATGTGTTTTGAACTTCAGCTCACAGAATCCTCACCCAGCATAGTCAACAGTCAGGAATTCTGGGAACTAAAGTCCAAAACATCTAGGGAAGCAAAGTTTGGGAACCACTGAATAAGCCTGTGCAGGCATTTATTTGCTCCCTAGGACTGGCTATAGATGAGGGACGGCTGAGGAACTCTTTTAGATTCCTCTCATGGAAAGAAAAAGCCAAGAACTGAATTTTCTTCACAGTATCCAGTTTAGTGTCTCCAGGCTTACATTCCATGTTAATGACCATCCTACTTTGGATGTTGGAGTATCCCTTCATTTCAAATGGAGAAAGCAGCTTTAAAAACTGAAGCTCATAAGCCAGAAGCTGACATTCAAAGACAGCTATAAATACTGTATATGCAAACCTCAAGTTAAACAGAAGAGAACCATGCTGTTGCAGAGGGTGACTACCACAGTAAGCACTCCATTGCTCCATTATAATCTGGTCACTTACCACTGTAGAAGACATTGTCAGGTGGTTTCCTAATATCAGATAGGATCACACTGTTCTTTCCAAAACGTTTCCTAGGAGAGAGAGATCACAGTTAGTCCAGGGTGGGTCTACACATGCCAGAATACTCCGGGCTGCCCCCAGAGTATTCTGGCTCCAAATTTTCCCCAGGTTTACCCCTTACTGGCTCTTTTATTGTTGTGGGTTTATGGCTGTTGCAATTGCCTTCCCACAGTTCACTGCCAAGTGGCACTTCTGAGGTCAGAAAAAGACACCCAGCCACACTATCAATTTTGGCCTCGTTCTGACCTCAGAGCAACTCACACCTGTAGCACCAATGGTGGGCAGCTCACAAGCCCAGCAAAAAGGCATTTGCTGGCATTGCTGCAAAGAGAGCCGACAACCCACAGCAAACGGTTGAGTTATGTAAGGTTGGGTTAGGAAGAAAGCCCTGAATCAGGTGCATGTGTCGTGAAAACAGTCTGGACCCGATTTGGGGGTTTGGCCCTGCATCATGTAAACAGGACACAGCAAGCTCAGGAGGAATTTTGGGTAAATCACCCATGCAGGCAAATCCTCTGAGCAGTCCTTTCATTCATTTTAAACCTTAGTTTGCTACAGAACTCCAAAGCAAAAGTCAATTTTGCTGTGAGATACAATGTGTAGTCTTAAATTTCTGTATTATTAAATATCTTGTCACTCCCTCCCCAATCTCATTAGAAGTTAGTCAGACAGATATCAATTCATCCGAACATTACTAAATGTTAACCCAAATACATCTGTTACTCAAAATTACCGTATTACTATGGTGTTTTTTGTTTGTTTGAGAGTCAGCTTGGGTCCCATACCAGGAGAAAAGCAATATATCAATTTAATTAATTAATTAATTTAGACTTCCCAGCTTTTTCCATTTGTGTGCGCATGCACACACGTGTGTGTACAAAATGTACTGTTTGTGGGAAAAGATCACAGATTATTGCTACCTTTCTGCTACAAGTGAACTTGATAATTCCCAGGAAACCTCAGCCTCTAAAAAAATGCACAACTCTTCATTACTGGTAGAAAGGAACAAAAATGATAGCTAATATAATAATAATAATAATAATAATAATAATAATAATAATAATAATAATAATATTTATTTATACCCCGCCCAATGGTAATCCAATCCGGGCGGCTTACAAATTTAAAACATACAGTCCACGATAAAACATATAATACAACATGCCCCCTCCCCCCCTTAAAACAGTATTAAATCAAGACAATTTAAAACAACAATTCAGGTTAAAATTAAAATTAAAATTAGCTTACCTCAAGAGCTTAGCAAGCCCTACTCCAAGCTGGCCTAGTCCACCTAGAAAACAAAATTAATGCACTATAAAACATGAACAAGTAGAACAGACATTTTGTTCTAAACAGTTTTTGAAATAAAAAACTGAACATAGAACTCTGCCTAAGAACTTGGGAGCAAGTAGCAAGTTAGCTTTCATCAAAGCCTTTAGGAATGTTTTAGACATGATGCACTATGAGAAAAGTGAACTATATCTTATCCTATTTATTTAAATTATTATCTTTGTGGGCTGCCTTTCAGAGTCCTGACCTCCTCACAAGCAGCCAAGAAAAAAGCAAGATACATAGATACATTAGATTTATTGAGACGGCTATTGCACCACACTTCTGCATCACAGATACAACTATGATAATACAAAAGAGAGGTTAGGAACATCACTTTAGTATCATACATCTAAATTAAGGCTGGCTCATGCACTGACCTTCTAGATCTTGCTGGACTGCAACTCCCAGCATTCCTTATCACTTGCTATGCTAGCAAAGACAGATGGGCATTCCAGTTTAGCAACACCTAAACACCTACCCATGAAGTAAACCTATGGACTATGATTCCAATAAATAAGAACAGCTCAGCACCCCTAGAGGCAGCGTGATGTAGTGGTTTGATCTATGGACTATAATTCTGGAGCCCAGGGTTCGGATCCCTGCTCAGCCATAGAAACCCACTGGGTGACCTTGGGCGAGTCACTCTTTCATCCTCAAAAGATGGCAATGACAAACCCTCTCTGATCAAATTTTGCCAAGAAACCGTTATGGTTAGGTTCACCTTAGGGTTGCCATAGGTCGGAAACAACTTGAAGGCACACAACAACAGCGTCACATAAAGCCACACAAAAATATACTCAGGTAAGGGAGGTGCAGGATACACCACTATCCAAGGCAGGCAGACCACTGTTCCTACTTCACCCCATTCTTCTATCAGTTCTACTACAGCAGGGGTCCCCACACTTTTTTATCTGGGGGCTGGTTCACTGTCCCCCAGAAATTCGGATGGCCAGAAAAAAAAATCGTGCCGGAGGGGTGCGCACGCGCATACACACTCATGCGCACTACTTGGGTGCCATTTTGTGTTCCAAAATGGCGCCTGGAGTCGTGCACATGCGCCCGGCATCACACACACATGTGCATGACTCCGGATGCCATTTTGGAACACAATGTGTTCCAAAATGGTGTCCAGAGTTGTGTGCATGTGCGGCAACGGCAGCAGGACCAGCCATGGGCCTGTTGAAAGGCCTCGACGGGCTGGGTTCGGCCTGCGGGCTGTAGTTTGGGGACCCCTGTACTACAGTGAGCCCTTGGTATCAACTAGGCTTTGATTCCAGGACCACCACCCCCATGGATATACATACAATGGTGTAGTAAAATGGTGTTCCTTATATAAAATGGCAAAATCAAGGTTTGCTTTTTGGAATTTTAATATATAATATAATTTAATATATAGCTGTGGATGCAGAATCAATCGATACAGGGCCAACTGTACTTCTGTGGAGGGACTCCTCTGAGGAAGGATTGGGAGCAAGATGGCTGTGGAAACTGTTGCTGTGCCCCTCAGAGAAAGGCACCTGGGGGCCTAGGGTGCTATGTAGAGAGCCATGCAGCCCATTTATCTGCTGCAGTACTATCACAAAAGGAAGCAGTTAATGCAGTTCTGTAATGACTGATGCCAATGTGCCACTCTGGAGATACTACACAATCCCTTTCCAGTTGCAGTACTTCCTGCAGCAGCCATCAAGGCTCTTCACAGCAATGATGGGGGTTACTCAGTGAAGGACAGGGGAACACACTGTTCACCACTCCCTGAACCCCATCTCCTGAGTCTGGTGTTTTGCCCTGTCTCAGGGGAGGCCGGATCCTTCTACTATTCAGGGGAAGGCCACCTTGAAGAAATAAGCTGAATATACTTTGGAGCCTAGACCTAAGCCATAAAGTGTCATGCGTTCATAGGATAGTAATCACAAACTCCCTTATGACTTATTTCTATGGCTGGGAATAAACCTTGTATGAACCAAGGTTTTCAATCTTCTCTTAAGGAAATTCTTTGTGAGCCTTGTGCCTGCTGTTTCTCCAAGCGCAACTGGCCTCTTACACCCACCACCTTCAGTTGCCATGCTTAAGACACTAATTACCCATCAGGTGGCATTTTGGAGTTCCTTTGATTCAGCAAGGGACAGGGTGCTGGTGGAAAAAGCCAGGGGAAGAAACCGGGAGATAATAAAATGTTCTATTTTAAGAGGAAATCACTATTATTCTGTTTGAGCCCTGCAATAAAGATGAGCTATTAATTGGACAAGAAAACACTAGCTCAATACTAAATCACTGTTTCTTTGTGTGTGCTTTCAAGTCATCTGTTAATTTCTAGGGACCCTTTGAATTTCATAGGCTTTTCTTAGGCAAGGAGGTCTGCCACTGTCTCCCTCTGACATATTGCCTACAGCACCTGATCTTCCTTGGCAGTCACCCACCCAAGTAGTTGACCCTGTTTAGCTTCTGATATCAGACAAGATCTGCTGGCTTCAGGTATTTAGGCATAAATCACTATCTTACAAGAGACAAATATCTCTTCTATCATCTTGGAGACTGGCTCCAGGCAACAGTGGTGAACAATCAATTATGCCAAGTAATCCAACAGAAACCAACTTTTCTTTTTATAAAGCTGCATTGTTATGCACACCAGGTAAATTGAGATTTACCAAAAAATCTGAATCATTTATAGCAGGGGGGGGTGGTTTTGTTATCCAACTAGCTAGAACTAGTTACTGAAAAAAAGAATGTCTGGATAGAAAAAGAGTGTATTTTCCTGAGAAAAAGGTTTCTGATCAGTATCAGAACCAAGATAATAATTGGGTTGAGCATGAGATAGCACTCTGTTCCTTCATTCTCAGAATACGTCCACCTGCCTAAGCCACTGTTTTGTACCTGGCTCTGGTTTGCAGATCTCAGTGTTCTTATAAAGCACAAATCAGACTCCAGAAGGCTACCATCTGCCCACTTGAATGTTGAACTACCACTGGAATTAGAATTCAATGACATCGGCATGGCTGCATCTACACTGCATAAATAATGTAGTTTGACACCAATTTAACTGCCATGGCTCAGTTTGATAGAATTCTTGAAACTGTAGTTTGTTTTGGCACCAGAGCTCTCTGACAGAGAAGGCTCAATGTCTTACAAAACTACAGTTCCCAGAACTCCACAGCACTGAGCCATGACAAAGTGGTGTCAAAGTGGATTATTTCTGCAATGTGGATGCTGCCCATGTTAGTCTGAAAAATCAGTGAGAAAAGGGATCTTGTAGCACCTTTGAGATTAACTGAAAGAAAGAAGCAGGAAGCATGAGCTTTCGTAGAGTCTATGAAAGCTCATGCTATAAGCTTCTTTCTTTTCATTAGTCTCAAAGGTGCTACAAGATCCCTTTATATACCACTGGAGTTAGGCACTTGTTATGGTCTGGGATAAAGGGAAGGAACAGACCTCCAAAATTGTTCAGTGCCTCCTTAATTCAGTGTTTACCTAAGATCAGGATATCAATACACATGGCTTGATGCAATGAATAACAAGAAATGTAAATACCACACACAAAAGAAATCACAGAGTAGGAGGTACAAAGCAGACTGACCTGTAATTAGTACCCGTGGATGGTCTGTTTCAGAGAAAGACACTGAATGAAAGCTGGCGTCTGAGGTTACCTGCCGGGGTGAGAAACCAACACACCTAACAGGCACAACAGCAATCTGACAGCCGCAGCCGGGTTTCTGCAACACCTGCCTGACAGCACGGCTCAAGCTCTTGATGGCTGGCATTTTTCAAGAGTGCTAAACGAAAATGGAAAGTATTTAAGTGAGTAGTAAGATATTCCCCTAACAGAGACTGTTCAAGCAAAGACGGTTTCTGAATTAATAATGAACTGTTCTGTACACATTTCTTGTTGGCTACAATAGAAAGGGCCCCTACTTTGCATGCAAAAGATCTCATGATTGTTCCCCAGTATTTACATAAGGTTGAAAATGACTCCTGTCAAACTCTACAGATGTTATCAGTCTAGAGACTACTGAAGTAGATGGGACAACAATTGGTTTCCATGTCCTCAGAACTTGGGCATGTAACCATCAAACTGGGGCATGTCTCAGCCAACAAAGAGTTGGCACTGGATGTTTCCCAATTTTTTTTCTATCCCAACAATCTAATTTGTTCTAGGGGTCTTTGTAGTGATAACTGTTTATACAGAGCTAATACTCAATGTGGCAGGCAATTTCCATAGACCAGAGCCATTCTGCAAGCCTGCCACTTGTTCCCTGGACTTCTGCAAATGTGAGAAGGGGCCTATCGAAACAGAAAAATACCTAAGACTCAACACCCAATCCAAGAATCCTTCAGCATAAACCTCAATTAAATGAAGCACTGCGGAATAGAAAAATCTTTCAGAAGTTACACAAAATTTATCCCCAGCTTTAGAGTTTCAATTGTCAGACCTTATACACCTTACTTTACTCACTAGTTTAATGCAATTGATTTTTTGATTTAACAGCAAGATAACTGTAAAACGATTCAACCAGAATGAAAAAAAAAACCCTGACCATAATGAAGATTTGTTATAACACAATACTGTACTAACTCTGTATCACTTTAATGTAGTGTCTAGACAAACCAGTTATATTTCTGCCATAAATTTGTACAGCTGTGGTTAAGATACATTTTGAAATGCACAATTCTTCATCATTCACCACATCCATGGGCTTACTGCGCAGTATTACAAGTCCTTGGAGACATCCAGAATTAGCAAGGTTGTTAGTACACCTCTTGGCTATAAATCTAGTGCATGGGTAAGGAACTGAACTGTAGTTTTAGGCTTTTGATAAAACCGTAGCACTATTTCTCACAAACAGGGGAAATACCAGCACTGCAACATGAAAACTGTTTTCCTGTAGACACCTGATGTTGGATTTCTTAGTATCACAGAACTATAGAGTTCGAAAAGACTACAAGGGCCATCCAGTCCAACCTGCTGCCATGCAGAAATGCAGCATATCATAAGCATAATTATCATTTAGCATTCAAAATGTAAAACAACATTCTGCCCTGTTACTAAAATCCTGAAGAGAGCTGAATTCTGACATTGCCTTATTTTTGTACAATACATTTTTTTCCAGAGAATGACTCCTCCTGCGCCTTCCCTCCTCCAGGCAGTAATGTGATGCAATATACTTTCTCAGCTTACCTTCTTTTCTGGCAGTGGCTTGGCAAAGCAAAAGAAAGAAGGGTATTTATGGGGCACAGCCTCTCTGCTAAGCCAATTAGAATCTGCAAGGGAGTGGGAGTTGTCCTCTACATCAAATGGGTGTGTGCATGTGTGCCCATGATATGACCGCAAGATGGATACATCAGTTTTTTTGATTTAAAATAGCGTCACCCCAGAATAATCCTGAAGGGAACAAGAGGAATGCTGCTTTTCTGGTATAAAGGAATGCTGCAAGGAACATTGGGTTTATATTTGCTCTCCTCTTTGGTAGGAGAAAGCTCAATTAGCACATGCTGGTTGACAAAAACAGCAGGCACAGCAGCAAGTTGAAGTGATACTCTAAAATCCACAGAACTCACTACTATAGGCTAAGCTTAAATAGAAAGCTAAACACACTTCGTAGTACAGTACTTCAAACC